CATGCCTTTTCGTGCAGTCAGCTTTCGAACTCGGAGGTTGGGTTGAAATCTTCGGCAGATGGACGGGATGGACCGGCTCAGGCTTTAGGGTGCTGAAGCCCCATATCCCGGTTCAACCTGAATAGGAGTTAGGATGAGGGGGACCCTTGGGGATCTAGACCCTCTCAATAATGTGACCTTTGACGAGAGCCATAAGTAGGGTTAAGAAGGGTCCCCGGGTGTTCTTCCGGTCTCGATGCTCGGAGACTTCCACATCCATCGTCCAGCCAACCTGACCCGCCTTCGGGGTCGTGCTGTCTGTGGCCGGTGCCGCAGCGATGGGTGCGGCCTCGACACATAAACGGATTGCTGCGCAAATGTCCAGCCGACCTGACCCGCCTTCGGCGGCTCTGGCGGCGGCACGAGCCCGAGCTGGTGAAGGTGCTGCTCTCGGCGCACAGTTTCCTCAAGCGAGACTGCAGGCACAAGGCGGGAGCCTTCACAATCTCAGATGCGAGCGCCCAAATCGCTTCTTCTTGTTCTTGGGGTGAAGTCGGCTTGCAGATGTTGACGGGAGAAAACCCTTATACAAAAGAAACACCCTAAACCCAAAAACCATAAAGAGTCCAAAGCCCTGCAAACCTCAAACGCTTCAGTTATCTAGAGTAAAGCAATTCTCAAAGCGTCCCCGGATCTTTAAAACCCCTAAGACCGTCAGGTCTGCGTGTGACTAGCGAAGCAAGAACAAGGTTTATAGGCTTTAGGATTAAGGTGATGGGGGTACATTACAGTATGCTGTAGGGATTCTAGGCGCGATGCCATTACTAATTCTTCAGACCTCTGTGCTAAGACAAAACGTCTCGCTAAGCCTCAAGGACCGACGACAACAGATCCAAACTCCTAGACTCCAAGCCCTGTCGTACCCTTGTGGATTCCTTATAAAACCCTGAAACACAAAAACTGAAACGCTATAAGTCGTAAGTCAACTCCAGTATGCAAATAATAGAAGGGCCGTGATATGGCTTAAGAACTAGATTCTGGGGAGTACCGTTATTATATAATCGGAGCTTTCTTGAAACCTCCTATACGTGTAACCTGTATCATGTCATCGAAGTTTAACCCTAAACCAGAAACCCTAAACCCTAAACCCTAAACCCTAAAACCTAAACCCTAAACCCTAAAAGCCATCGCCACTTCCAGCCTGCTCTCCTCCGTCCCCGAAGACCTGTCCGAGAGAGCACGCAGGAGTTGGGATTGAACAGCTTAGGATTGGGACTAGGGTTTACAGGGTTCAGGGTTGAAGGTTTAGCACTAGGGTTTAGGGTTCTGGGTTTATGTAAACTCTAGTTGGTCTTTGTTGAAGGCTAAGGTTGAGGGGTTTATGGATTAAGACATTTAGGGTTTTCAGGTTTAGGGTTTCGGAATTCTCTTTTGAAGGACCTGTTCTATTGTCTCCTGAGCTTCCTGAAGATCCATGGGACGCGTCAAGCGATGTCTTTGTTGCTAGTTGCACCCCTCTCCGTGCCTCTGCTTCCCAGAAATACTCTACCACCCAAACCCCTAAACCCTAAACCATCCCTAAACCCTAACTATGGATGCAATTTGAACCGATACCATTCCTCTTTATTCTGCTCGTCTACTTCTGCAGGCATCTACATACAAACAAATGCTCAGCCCAGATTAGCGAGCGCTTATATAGAGCCCCTATGGAACCCTGCAAGGAAGCCTCTTAGGTATCCAAACGAACCCTCACAAGAGTCGCTGAAGGATCCCTGAGAAGAGCCTTTAAGGCTCATTGCTATCAGGAACCTTTGCAGTATTTGGCTTGAGAAGGAATTCTTAACTTTCTCTGCCACACTGTCATGGATGGGAGCACCATGGACTCAAGGTTGACATGGCGTAATTAATTTGAAGATGCTCGAAGAACTTCCCTACATGGCACTGCCTGTTTTTCAATGACCCTTTATAGATAATGTAGGGGCCTTCATGATTAGAATAGAGTTTTGGGGGTTCCTTACTATTATTATGGTATAAAAGACCCAAAACCCTTTTCTAACTGTTCAGGCCCCTATATTAGTCGAAGAAAACCTCCCAAGTGCCGCGCCGATCTGGCGGAAGGCTGCGCAAACGTCTTTGGAAGTCTGCTGGCAACTCTCCCAGCTCTGGCGCAGGCTTCCCGGCTTGAGCTCGGGATGTGCCAACGAGGGACCACAAAATGAGCAGCGCAAGAAACCCTAAACCCTAAACCCTAATGTCATTGCGGAGCCTACGGGCTGCTGAGCCAGACAATTTCTTCCGCACTTCCAAGGCGTACTTGTCGCACGGATCTCGGTCACTCATTGATGAGCGGGTTCCTGTTAGGGCTCCTTTTTCAGGATCACTTTTAGGGGTTCCTTTTAGAATTCCGTTTAGGGGGTTCCTTCAAGGGTTCCTTTTAGGATTCCGTCCGTTAATGGTTCCTCTGAGGCTTCCTTCAAAAGCACTCTTAAAAAGCCCCCGACCATCGCAGGAACTGAAGCCTCTCCGCGGCTTCCTCGCCTTCTACCCGAATTAGGGTTTAGGGTTTAGGGGTTTAGGGTTTAGGGGGTCAGGGCTTAAGGTTTTTGGTTCAGGGTTAGGGTAAGGGGTGAGGGAATAAGGCTGTTTAGGGTTTAGGGGTCAGGGCTTTTGGGTTAGGGCGAGGGTTTAAGAGGGATGAGGGTTTAGGGTTTAGGATATAGGCTGTGCTGTTTAGGGGTTAAGTGGTGAGGCTTCAGGGTTTAGGCTGTTTAGGGTTTTTTATGTTAATGCGCTGGCTCTGACATGGGAGTGAGGATTAGGGGGACTCTTGGGGATATAGACCCTCTCAATAAGGGCCCTTTTAAGAGAGCCAAAAGTAGGGTTCAGAAGGGGTACCCTTTAAGGGGTACCCCTAATAATACTACCTAGCTCTTTCTCCCGCACGAGATCCAAAAGCTCACTCAGTTCGAGTTTGCACTAAACCAAACAAAGGGCCCTCACTGTTTAGGGTTTCGGGGTAAGGGTTGAAAGTTTAGGGTCTATGACTATAGGGTCTCAGCCTGACAGCCCCGAAGACCTCATGTAAGAGAGTGCGAAAACCAAACGGCCTCACAGACTTTGCAGCTTCTTGGGGCTTACAAGACGGACCCTGATAAGGGTTTAGGCTTTAGGGTTTAGGGCTTAGGGTTTAGGGTTTAGGGTGAAGATGTTGTGGAGTTCAGGGCTGAGGGACACCAAGTGCGCTCCTGACACACGTGCTGGCCCACTCTCCTAAGAGCACTGGCGGTTTATGGGGTTTTCTGAAGTCTCAGCTTCTGCTGTCGTAGCCTTATTAGCATGCTTCGTTGATGCTGCTGTGAGCAGATGCGCCATATGCCTAAACCCATAACCTTAAACCCCTTTACACAAAATGAAATCCTGGTTTCGGGTTTAGGCTTTCCGGTATTGGAAAAACGCGCCGATATATGCCCCACCAATCCTTCAGGGCCGGTGACCTCGTCCTCTGCACACTAGACGCTAAGCCCTTTAGGCCCTAAATACATCAAACCCCAAGCCCTGAACCCTATACAAGTTCTATAAACCCTAAACCCTAAATACAATACCCGTAAACCCTAAACCCTATACCCCTAAACAGACCCTAAATCCCTAAACCCTAAACCCTAAACCCTGAAACCCTAAACCCTAAACCCTAAACCCTATACCCTAAACCCCAAAACCCTAAAAGCACTAAACCCTGAAACCCTAAATCAACTAAAAACCCTGAACCCTAAACCCTCAACCCTAAGCCCTAAACCCCAAACCCTAAACCCTACACCCTAAAACCCTATACGCAAACCCGAAACCCCTAACCCTGAAACCCTAAAACCCTAAACCCCCAAAACACTAAAGCCTGAACCCTGAAGCCCCAAAAAGCCCTAAAACCCTAAAAACCCTAAAACCCTAAAAAACCCTAAAACCCTAAAAACCCTAAATCCCCAAAACACTAAAACCCTGAAACCCTAAAAGCCCCTACAACTTCAGCTCCGCACAAGGCCACGGCTCCTCGCTCTCCGGGTCCGGCTGAAGCCGCAAGGTCGGAGCCGACTCCGCACCTAACGGTGCTTTGTGCTTCAGGGGTTTAGGGGCTTAGGGTTGA